CTCCGTCCCAATATAAAAGGCACATTTGCGTTTGGGGAGTTTTTAAGGGTGAACACTGTTTGAACACTGTTTGACACTGTTTAGACACTGTTTGGCACTGTTTGGACACTGTTTGGCACTGTTTGGCACTGTTTTGCACTGTTTTGTTTGCCAAAAAGGGAAATGTGCCTTTTATATTGGGACGGACCGAAAAGGAAAGTGTGTCTTTTATATTGGGACGGAGGGAGTATCAAATATTATAACTTTTTACGATCTTTCATATGACACCAATATTGCATAATTTTTTTTACAATCCTTTTTTTTAATTTAACCTGAAAATTTTTCACTTGTCTTTTTAAAGTAATAAATCATTTTGATCTCATCTACACAAATATCAATCACATTCCAAAAGAAGATCTTCTTTACAAGAAAAACATGGATACCAATTTCAAAGGGGAGGTATACAAAAATACATATGCAGTCAACTGTGAAACACTGATATTCTATTTCGTTGTGTATATTATGAGACTCATATATGATAATACAATTATATGATATTTATAGAATATTAAAAATTATTTCAAATTTGGGCACACATGCATACAAATGTATGCTTTTTAACACATATTAATAAACGATAATAAATTGGATATACTTTGAAAATACTTTTTTCCTCAACTAACATGTTCATGGAATAGTGAAATCATATTAGCTTTATACACATGTTTATCACATTTATTCAATATTAAATCTTATTAGCTTTTCATATAGCATGCACTATTCGAGATCAGCATTCTCATACAAATGTCGCTGCTAACAAAGCAGCGAGAACCACGACAAATGCAATCTCGAATGGTCCTTATATCAACACACAATTAAGTACTGCATTGCTAGACCACACAAGTTCTTCCCTCATTAAAAGGTAAATGATCGCTCGACTATCATCTACAAACTATTGTTTAAATATAATAATACTATAACTCTCAAGTGTTTATAACATGTTTACTCAAAACATAAAAGGAACGAGGCAGCAAGAGCACGTCTCAGAAGGAGATATATTCTAGATGAAAGAAGGAGAGGTAAATTCATAGTCGCAATCAACAAGACATATCTAACTAAGTCCAACTACAAAATATCTACCTCCTGCTCTATTCTACATTGCTATATACAAGTAATATTCAAATCATTTTAACTTTTAAGGTTTCCGTACAAACAAGAGCGTCGAAGGTTCTTCACAAGATGTAGATACCAAAGGCAAAAAAAGTGTAGGGACATCAAACGAAAGTGGGCTGCCAAACTATGGTACAAATAACCAGTTATTACATGCATGTTTTATTATAACATTTGTTCTATTTAACTATTTCCTATGCCAATTACTAAATTTACTATTTATTTTTATAACCACACAGCAGAGTACTGTTATACTCCTGCCCTTCACACAAGTGTCGATGCAAATACCATGGACACTTCAGCAGGCCATTACCTTCCACTCTCTAACATCACAAAAATCATATTAAACGGAAGGTAATTAATAACACAAAATTACAGCTTCATATAAGACTTATAAATAAAAATTAAATTAAATTTAATTTTTATCATATTCTTACGTTTTCACAGTGGGAGCAACCAAACAGCCAAAGGGGATGCGACTAAAGAATCACATTCCAAAAGAAGATCTTCTTTACAAGAAAAACATGGATACCAATTTCAAAGTGGAGGTATACAAAAAAACATATGCAGTCAACTGCGAAACACTGATATTCTATTTAGCTGTGTATATTGTGAAACTCATATATGATAATACAATTATATGATATTTATAGAATATTAAAAATATATTACAAATTTGGGCACAAATGCATACAAATGTTTGCTTTTGAACACATATTCGTAAACGATAATAAATTGGATATACTTTGATAATACTTTTTTCATCAACTAACATGTTCATGGGATAGCGAAATCATATTAGTTTTATATACATGTTAATCATATTTATTCAATATTAAATCTTTTTAGCTTTTGATACAGCATGCACTATTCGAGATCAGCATTCTCATACAAATGTCGCTGCTAACAAACAAGCGGGAACCTCAACAAATGCAATCTCGAGTGGCCCTTACTTCAACACACAATTAAGTGTGCTCCAAAATCAACCAAAGAGAAAAAGAATAGCCACCAATTTGGATTCTTTGGGTGTGAATCTATTGACCAAATTTTCAGAGGATGCTCTTATGTTTGACAATGAAGTTGATGGGCATAATCCTTGCAAAACAATTTCACCATCATCAGCTCAAGGCACATGTTACACGAACCAAACTCAAGCATTAAATTCAAATCAAAGTGTGAGCATACATGAAACATATGATCCACAAGTAAATCAAGAAATTGATTCTGATAGTGATATTGATCAATTCGAAGGTAAATGATAAGTTTTTATCATCACTATAACTAACACCACAATAATTTCATATACTTATTGAGCATTATTTTCAAACAGGTTTAGCTCCCGATGATGACATCAGTTCAAGTGAAGAGTTACCCGATACTCATGAAAACACTACAGAATTTAATTTGGGTCAAGGTATTAATTAAATAATTTAATATAATTTAACTCATACTAACCACTGTGTAATATTTATATTAAATTTAAATTCTTTCTAGGATACTTTGATATTGGAGATCCACTTATTCAGTGCGACAAATGCAAGGCATGCATGTGGTATCAAGAAAGAACTGACAAACATAGAGACACTGTGTCACCAAAGTATAATCTTTGTTGTAGAAAGGGAAAAGTTCAATTGCCACTGCTTAAGGATCCCCCTATGCTTCTCCAGCATCTTTTATTTGATAACGATGTTGATAGCAAAAACTATCAACAACATATTAGAGTGTACAATATGATGTTTGCATTCACATCGCCTGGTGCAAGAATTGACAAGTCCGTCAACGATGGTCGAGGCCCGCCGACATTCAAAATACAGGGCCAAACATGCCATCGAGTGGGAAGCATGTTACCTATGCCAGGTCAACATCCAAAGTTTGCTCAGTTATACATATATGATACTGAGCATGAGATAGAAAACAGGATTCGAGGAATAAGGTTAGCATATGCATTAATTTTATCAACATACACTACATACAAATTTATTAAATTATTACTTCTCATTATATGTGATTATTCAATTAAATTTGATGTCTTTTGTAGAAATCGAAATGACATAAATGAAGAGATTGTGTGCAAATTATCAGCGATGCTACACCAATACAATGTGCACGCAAAATCATTTAGGATGGCTAAGGAAAGATTGCAAGATGCACCTGTGCGAGATCTACGACTAAAGTTGATTTCTGACAGAGTTAGCGATGGTCGAGTATACAATCTGCCAACGGTTTCAGAAGTTGCTGCTCTTATTGTTGGAGATGTTAACACTTCATCAAAAAGGGACATAATAATGGAGACGCGAAGTCGTACACTTCAGCGAATCAGTGAGTTGCATACTAGCTATTTGAGTTATCAATATCCTCTTTTATTTCCTTATGGTGAGGATGGATATAGGCATGACGTGCTTCATAGAGATACAGGTAAATCTAATAGTTCTAAAAGAAACCGTCTTACCATAAGGGAGTGGCTTTGTTTTAGACTCCAAACCAGAAAAAAAGAAGCACTCACATTGTTGAGATCAAGAAGATTATTTCAACAGTTTGTGGTTGATGGATATGCTATGCTTGAGTCAGAGAGGTTATCTTTTATAAGGAGAAACCAAAAAAAGCTAAGAGTTGATAAATACAGTAACCTCACTCAACCAAATAACGACTTACAATGTCAAGGATCTGAAAAGGGAAAAAGAATTGTACTACCATCGACATTTGTAGGAAGTCGCCGATACATGGATCAACTTTACTTCGATGGTATGGCAATTTGCGGTTTTGTTGGCTTTCCTGATTTCTTTATCACATTCACTTGCAATCCCAACTGGCCTGAGATTCAGAGAGTACTTGAACCATTAAACTTGAAGCCACATGATCGTCCTGATATTCTTGCAAGGGTCTTTAGGATCAAGTTTGAAGAGTTATTAACAGATTTAAGGAAAAGACATATATTCGGGAAAGTTCTTGCATGTAAGTTTTAAATATGGATACATTACATATTTCTTATTCACACTACACATTTACTGTTGCAATTCATTTATTCTAAAATTATAATTTGCTAATTTATTTCCAGATATGTATACAATCGAGTTCCAAAAAAGAGGACTGCCGCATGGTCATATACTCATTTTTTTGCATCCTTCGAACAAGTACCCAACTGCCGATGATATTGATAGGATTATCTCAGCAGAGATACCTGATCAAGAGTCTGAGAAAGAATTATACAACTTGGTTAAAACTCACATGATTCATGGTCCATGTGGTTCAGCGAACCCTTCTTCGCCATGCATGCAGGATAGGAAATGCAACAAGTATTATCCTAAGCAATTCCAGGCAAGTTTAGTTTTAATTGGTCTGATCAGTTTAAGTGTGATCTTATTTTGTTCTATATATGATCGCTTCCCAAAAGCAATATATATGCATACACACATTTACTTAAGATATATTTGAGATATTACCATTTAAATATTTACAAAAAGATAAATTAAATTCTATCGCCGTAATATTTTCATACATTTGCTAATGAATGATAGATAATTAGATTAAAATATTACGAAGTACTAATTAATAAATGAATGTAGTATTGACTATTCTTCTTGAAAAAAATGTGACTTTTATATGGTCACTACTATTAATTTTAAGCATGTAGGTCCCTCATGAAAAATAAATCAAAACTTATACACTATAACACTGTAGACTAATACTACAAACTAAACATCAATTCCTAACTTTAACAACACATACAATTTATACATATATGATAATAAAAAATAACATCACATTTTTTTACTATTATCTGTTAAACTTACTCTATCAAAGTAATGACATTAGTGGTGCTTAGAAGTATTAAGTTAAGATTATTCTCATTACTTTTAAATAGAAATACATAACATTTACAATGTTTCAGGAATTCACGACACTTGACGAAGATGGTTATCCTATCTATAGGAGAAGACAAAATGGAAGGGAAATAGAAAAATCTGATATTATCTTAGACAATCGTCATGTAGTGCCTTATAATCCAAAATTGCTGTTAAAGTACCAAGCCCATATCAACATGGAATGGTGTAATCAAAGCACTTCGATCAAATACTTATTCAAATATATCAACAAAGGATATGATCGGATTACAGCAGTTATTGTTCCAACACGCGATGATGAGTCTCCACAAAATGAGAATATTGATGAGATCAAGCAATATCTTGATTGTAGGTATGTCTCACCTTGTGAGGCCTGTTGGAGGATTTTTTCTTTTCCGATTCATGGTAGGTCTCCAGCAGTTGAAAGGCTTTTCTTTCACCTTCCCAATGAGCAGTCTGTGTTCTTTAGTGACAATGACAACCTGAATTCGGTTCTAACAAAAACAACTGTTAAAGAATCAATGTTTACATCTTGGATGCAAGCAAACAAAATCTATCCTGAAGGAAAAGATTTGACCTATGCAAAATTCGTTTCACGATTTGCGTATGTAGCTAGCAAGAGGTGCTGGAAACCGAGAACAAAGGGTTACACTATTGGTAGACTCATTTGGGTACCTCCAACCACAGGTGAATTATTCTATTTAAGAATGATGCTCACTGTAATAAAGGGGCCATGTTGTTATGAGGATATTAGGACAGTTGCCAACATTCAATATCCAACCTTTAGAGAAGCATGTTTTGCGGCAGGATTGCTTGGGGATGATAAAGAATATATTGCAGCATTAAAAGAAGTTAAGGACTGGGCATCAGGGCACTACTTGAGAAAATTGTTTGTAACTCTGCTCTTATCGTGTCCCGTAAGCAGACCTGAGCATGTATGGGAACAAACTTGGCAGTGGTTGGCAGATGGAATTTTGTATCAACAACGAAGACTCTCAAATATCCAAGGTAGACCACCGATCAATTAAAAATTAAATTTTCACTAATCATTTGTAAAATGACAAGTTCTTCATGAGGCCTACCCTACCAAAAAAATATAAGATTTGTGAGTAAAAGTGTTACACTAAATTCCATTCACTTTATATTTGAATTCGAATAGAGAACACAAAGTATATATGATTACTTTAGCAGATATGTGATACTCTTTCTAAATTCCCACTAATTATATAAGTATAAAAATTAGTAATTTATAAAATTAACTATTTCCTATTACCATAAATTTACGTCATTTCTAGGTTACTTCAATCATCTTTTCTTATCTTAAGTATTAAAATAATTTCAAGTATCAAGTAACATATAATTTATTTCACCTATCAAGTAACATATAATTTGTCATTCATTTGGATAAAGGAATATATTCAAATAAAAATATTTCATAATTTTAATTGTCTGCATGTCCCGTTGTCATTCATTTGCATCACTGTGACAAATTAAACTATTTACAATAAAAACATAATGAAAGTAGACACATACACATGAACATCTTCTTCTAATTACTAATTTAATTGTGTTTATTACATTTGTAGATTTACAGTTAAGTGATCAAGAGTTGCAAAATTTAACTCTTCTGGAGATTGAGAAATTGATGCAAAAAAAGAGAAAAAGTCTAAAAGACTATCCCTCAATACCATATCCAAATGGATATATCACGGAACAACTAGGAAATAGGCTTATTTATGCAGAACGTGATTATGATACATCCAAGTTGCGTGTGTAACACCGTCCCCAAATATATTTACTTTTATGTAAATAATGTATTGAACCTTATTAAAGGATTAATGAATTTACGAAGTTGTAAATTTTTATTATTTCTTTCGCGTGAATAGTAAATTGCACGTGGGACCCACACCGGGAGCGGGGGCCGCCCGATATCCCCGAGATCACATAAATTATCATTATGGGTCGAAATAATATTTATATGGTGGTGGACATCTTATTTGGGCCATGGGAAGACCTGGGGTTGACCGATTGGTCAAAAGAAGCCCAATTACCGGTACCGACAATTAAACAGATAACAGCCCGAAAATGAATTTCGGAGACTTCCAAATTTTAGTTTTGGAATATATATTATTTCAAAGGGGAGTTATGATGGGGAACACATAATATATTTTATTTTACCCGATAAAATAAATTATGATTAAAACAGTCCGAAAAATACAACTTTCGGGACCGATTGTACACACCGGGACACAAAGGGATGACCTCCCACATGAGTGGGGGCCACCCCACGTTTTTTTGTGCTGTAACAACAAGGAAGGGCCTAGGTTGACAAAGGATTGAGTGGAGGAAGGTGCAAGGGGGCCCTTTGACCTCACTCATTTGCCAAAGGAGACAAAAAGGACACCCCAACCTCTCCCCTAGGCATTATTTCGGCCTAGCTACCAAAGGAGGAGGAAGAAAAAGCTCTCCAACCCTTCTCCATTGCTGCAACTCGAGCTCAAGCAAGAGAGGTCCAAGGAGTGGGATTAAAGAAGGAAAAAGGCTAGGAAAAGTGTGTAAATTAAGGTAATGACCTCATTATAACTTTTCCTTTATTTTTCTCCTACCATATGAGATATATATCATGTGAAGAATCCTTAAGAGGGTTCTACATGTTATAAGTATGGATTTATGGGTTGGGGAGTGATTCTATGTCCAAGAACGGTCTTAGAAGCCAAAATGACCGGTTCACCGGAAAATAACCTTTTTGAGGTTATTTGTATTAATATGGGGTTTATGATTATAAAACCTTGTTAGGAACTTGTGAAAGGTATTTCAAGTGATTTCACAAAGTTGGAAAAGTCGCCGGAGTTGTCGCCGGAGTTGACCAAGTCGCCGGAGTTTCACCGGAGTTCAACCAAGAAGGGTAGAACTTCTTAACGCTAGTTCAAGGTGAGTGGACGGCTTAATATCTTATAACTTTTGGGTTAATTATGAGATTACCTAAATAAATGTTATATGAGTTCATAGTGATGTTTAAAAGATATTTAAACATGTGATTAGCCAATAGGGTTAAGTTTGTATGAAAGAAATTAATTGTTGATGCATGGAATATGATATGAAGAATTATATGAAATGCATATTTGTTTGAAGTGTATTAGAGGCACAAAGGAATATTATTAACTTAATTATATGATGATTAAGTTGATACACACAAGGCATGAAATGGCGGTCAACGAAAACGTTGACCGATGGACAAGGAATTTAATTAATACCGGTTGGTATTAATTAATTATAAATTTATATACATGCATGGCTTTGCATGGATTGTGATACATAAGATTATGTATTGGTTTAGTTATGAGTAACTAAGAATGATATAGACTCTATCTAGGTTGATAGGAGGTTGATCATAGGAAAACTTGGTGGAGGACCCTAGTACTTAAAAAGTACTTAACACTCAAACTTGGTGGAGGACCCTAGTACTTAAAACGTACTTAACACTCAAACTTGGTGGAGGACCCTAGTACTTAAAAAGTACTTAACACTCAAACTTGGTGGAGGACCCTAGTACTTAAAAAGTACTTAACACTCAAAACTTGGTGGAGGACCCTAGTACTTAAAAAGTACTTAACACTCAAACTTGGTGGAGGACCCTAGTACTTAAAAAGTACTTAACACTCAAAACTTGGTGGAGGACCCTAGTACTTAAAAAGTACTTAACACTCAAACTTGGTGGAGGACCCTAGTACTTAAAAAGTACTTAACACTCAAAACTTGGTGGAGGACCCTAGTACTTAAAAAGTACTTAACACTCAAACTTGGTGGAGGACCCTAGTACTTAAAAGTACTTAACACTCAAAACTTGGTGGAGGACCCTAGGACTTATGAGGCCTTAACACTCACAAACCGGTGGAGTATCCGAGGATGTTGATCCTAAAACTCATAAATTACGATATACAAATAGGGACAAGGAGGAGTCCTATACACTCATAGGTATATGGGTGGGTTGGGGTTTTTAGTCAAGAATATTGACTAATACTATTTTTCCCAAATAAAATGGTGATCTACGGATCGGATATTTTCCAAGTATATATATACTAATAAGTATTTCATAACTTGGGGGAAAGACTATCTATTTAAGTATCACCCTATGTTTGGGTCTTATACTTGAAACGCTAGTTATTCTATATTTAGCCTGCTACTCGCTCGGTACTTGTACTGACCCCTTCGGGGGGCCCACCATTTTCAGGTTGAAGCTAGGGCTTGCTACTTGCACCTTCTCACGGGTGATATCAAATCAGGAAGACGTGGTTCGTGCTTCCTTATTTTCTTTCAAACTACCGAACACTTGCTCATGGATATTTGTTCTACTATAACTATTTTTGGGGCTTGCATGCCCATGTTGTTGGCCGGTTGTGGCTTATGACTTACCGTTGAATATTTCCGCTATTCATTGGTTTAAATGTGATGTTGTTATGTATGTTTACTACTGAGTATGGATGGATTGTTTTCTCGAACGCCTTGTGTAATTAAGTGGGGTTGACTCGCGGGTGACGTCACTTAATTATACGGCGGTTGTACACGCGCTTGGATTGCGGTCTGGGGCGTGACAATTAAGTGGTATCAGAGCCATCTCAGTTCTAAACATTATAATCAACCTCTCACAAAAGATTTTACAAAAGAGTTTTTACCGAAAACCATGAGCATTGTATTTTGACGTTTATAGGACTATTGGTGCTTAAGTTGCAAGGCCTCTAATTGTTAAGACGGTACCCTTAACAATTGGTATGGTAGTGACTTGGGCCAATACGTGTCTGTAACGTTCTTCCGTCAGTTGACATTTATAGGAGTCTAATGACTCATCCATATTTCTTTCAGAAATGGAGGGCAGGCGAATGAGGACCAGGAACAATCCGAGGGGGCAGGCGCCGGTAGCATCCCAAAGGGGAAGCCGGGCTGCATCTCGGGGTTCGAGAGGAGGCCGTGGAGGCCGTGGAAGCCGTGGAGGTCATCAAGCTCAAACTGTGAGTGATGGCCATGTGAGCTCGGTGTATGAGACCAACACCGAAGACTACGACTCAACCTACGTGCCAGAGACGGAGCATGAAGAGACCCCGTATGATGGGGGTGACACGTACACCGATGATGATGATGAAGAGAGTGATGCCAAGTTCGCCCAAATGGGCGAATTGCTTGAATGGTATCAAAAAGAAAAATTGAGGAGGGACCTTAGGCGCCAAGCGAGGCGTGGCTCTCGCGGTGGTTCGGGTCAAGGAAGCCGGGGAGCTTCCGTGGCCACCCCAGCGGCGTCACAAGGTGGGCGTGAAGGAGGTTTTGTCGTGAGAATCTCCAAGTACCTCAAGGAGGCTAGGGCCTTGGGGTGTAGGTCCTTTGACGGCACCGGTGACATTACCGTTGCCGCAGATTGGATTAAGAAGGTGAAGGATGCATCAAGAGACATGCAAATCACACCGGACGTGAAGTTGACTGTCGCTTCACGGTTACTTGAAGGGATAGCCTCTACGTGGTGGGAGAGCGTGGAAGGGAAGTACCATGGGGAAATAACATGGGCGGACTTTGAGCTAGAGTTCTATGCTCAATACTACTCCGAGTACGAGGTGAATGTGAAACGGAGAGAATACACTAACCTTAAACAGAAAGAGGGCGGCACAGTTAAGCAGCTGGAACAAGAGTTTAGAACCTTGGCTAGGTTCTTACCAGAGTACGCGGTTGATGAGAACCGTATGACGGAGCACTTTTGGGATGCCTTACTCTTGGACATCCGTGATCGGGCTACGTACTCGCGCCACATGACCTTTAGTGAGGTGGTGGAGCAGGGCCTTCTTGGGAAGGCCCAATGGAATGAAAGAAAAGAGAGGGACGCCGAAGAGGCGAAAAAGAGGAAATGGCATGGTTCGGGGCCGCCCGAGCAGGCACGGAGGGATAAACACGGCGGAGGTGGCGGTTCGTTCAAGACTCCGGCACCACCGGCAAAGAAGAACAGGGATGCTCGGTGGCATGTATCCTCCTCCCAAAAGACGGGGCCTCCAAAGTGTGCCAATTGTTCGAAAAATCACTTTGGGAAGTGCAATGCACCCCCGAGGTGTTATCAATGTGGGAACACGGGCCACATGAAGGCCAATTGCCCACAACTGGGGGGCGGAGGAGCTCCGGGATCCGGAGGGGGAACCATGACGGGGAGAAACCGCGCGGGCCCGTCAAACGGCGGTACGGGAAGAGGCGGCGCGTCCACAAGTCATGCCGCATCCGTAAACCAAGGCGGGACCCAAGCACGAGTCTACGCGATGACCGAGGCGGATGCGAGAGCAAATCCGGACTCCGTTGCAGGTAATACGCGTATTCCCATGTATTTCTAGGCTTGCTTTGATCATATACGTCGTTGGGATTGAGTGTGGGCCACCTCGGGGTCGAACCGGGTGAGTTAGGCCGAATCTGGCTGGAAACAGCCACTGCCGGCCAGGCACGCCCTCAGGCACGCCGTGCCTGGAATCGTGCCTGGAAGGCAGTGGCACCCGAAGAGAAAAAGGGAAGAAAAAAAAAAAAAAAAAAAAAAAAAAAAAAAAAATTGGGCCAGGCACGGCCGCAGGCACGCCGTGCCTGGCGTCGTGCCTGGAAGGCAGGCTCACCCCGAAGGAATTCGGCCAGGCACGGCCGCAGGCACGCCGTGCCTGGCACCGTGCCTGGGAGGCAGTGTTGAGCAGGAAGGGTCCGATGCACGCACGGCCGTGCGTGCCACCCAGGCACGCCGTGCGTGGACCCCAGAACCCGGAAATCGGATTTTTCCGCCCCGTTCTTCTACGTTTGGATCCCCGTTTGATTCCAAACATTAGTATGAACCTAATAACCTCCTAAAGATGTGTAAAAACATTAGAAAAGGTATCTTACATGGTGTATAAATGTAGGAACATTAAAGATCAATGGTAGGTGTGCGAGGATCCTCATCGATACCGGGGCACAACGCTCATTTGTGAGTGAGGCGTTTGCCGAGGGGCTCGACGTGCCATTGACGCCCATGACACAAACATTGCTAGTCTCCACACCGTTAGGAGACGACGTGGAGAGAAATCATTACTATCCATCATGTGAGGTGGAAGTGACGGGTCAACCCTTGACTTGTGATTTCGTACCTCTAAGCATGTTGGAGTTCGATGCAATCCTAGGAATGGATTGGCTTGAGAAGCACCATGCTCGAGTTGATTGCTACACCAAGGTGTTGGAGCTCGAGGATGATCTAGGAAACACGTTATGTTTCGAAGGAGATCGGGGGAAATCTAGTGCTTGTATCATATCCGTGATGAGAGCACGGAAGATGATGAGGAAGGGATGCCACGCGTACCTTGCCTACGTGGTGGACGATACCAAGAAGGAAGTCGACATCAAAGACGTACGGGTCGTGTGCAAGTACCCGGATGTCTTTCCCAAAGACCTACCGGGGCTTCCACCCGATAGAGAGATCGAATTTGTAATTGAAGTGGAGCCGGGAACCAAACCCATTTCGATTCCTCCTTATCGAATGGCACCGGCCGAACTTCAAGAGTTGAAGGTCCAACTACAAGAACTACTGGACAACGGGTTCATCAGACCCAGTCATTCACCGTGGGGGGCACCCGTACTCTTCGTGAAGAAGAAGGATGGTACACTAAGAATGTGTATTGACTACCGACAATTGAACAAGGTCACAATCAAGAACAGGTATCCCTTACCGAGGATTGATGACTTGTTTGACCAACTTCGAGGGGCAATAGTGTTCTCGAAGATTGATTTGAGGTCGGGGTATCATCAGTTGAAGATCAAGGAGAGCGACATACCTAAGAGTGCATTCCGCACTAGGTATGGTCATTACGAGTTCCTTGTAATGTCATTTGGTTTAACCAACGCACCGGCGGCATTCATGGACTTGATGAACCGGGTGTTTAGTGAATACTTAGATCAATTTGTGATAGTATTCATTGATGATATCTTGATATACTCCAAGAGTGAGGAGGAGCACGAGCACCATTTGGGGCTTATACTTGATCGGCTAAGGGAAAAGCAACTCTTTGCCAAGTTCTCTAAATGCGAATTTTGGCTCAAGGAGATTGGTTTTCTCGGTCACGTCATATCCGGTTCGGGCGTAGCTGTGGATAACGCAAAGATAAAAGCTATCATGGATTGGGAGAGACCCAAGAATGTGAAAGAGATACGTAGTTTCCTTGGCTTAGCGGGATACTATCGTAAATTTGTTGAAAAATTCTCCGTATTGGCGTCTCCATTAACGAAGCTCACAAAGAAAGGGGCCAAGTTCATATGGGACGACAAGTGTGAGAAAGGGTTCCTTGAACTGAAGAAACGACTTACCGAAGCACCAGTCCTTGCCCTACCCATACAGGGGATAGGGTATGACATTTACAGCGATGCTAGCATCCAAGGGCTTGGATGTGTACTAATGCAAAACGGTAAGGTGATTGCCTATGCTTCTAGGCAATTGAGAAAACACGAGGTGAACTACCCTACTCACGATCTAGAGTTGGGGGCGGTAGTGTTTGCATTGAAGATTTGGAGGCATTATCTCTACGGGGAAACGTGTCACATTTATACCGATCATAAGAGCTTGAAGTATGTATTCACTCAAAAGGAGTTGAATATGAGACAAAGGAGATGGATGGAGTTGATCAAGGACTATGACTTGATCATCGACTATCATCCCGGAAAGGCCAACGTAGTGGCCGACGCACTGAGCAGGAAGAGTACGTCAGGGACGTTACTTACTTGTCTGCAGGCATTGAGGGCACGCGTGGAGGTGTCCACGTGCGGGGCTCTCATTGCTCAATTTGAGGTTAGGCCCACCCTATTGGGCGAGATTAGTCGAAGTCAGGCCATGGATGAGGAATGTCAGAAGATCCGTGAAAGGATCCTTGCGGGGCCCGTTGAGAATTTCCGAGTACGTGATGACGGTCTGTTATTGTTTAAGGATCGTGTGTGCATACCAAGGAATGAGGAACTCCAGAAATCTATACTTGAGGAGGCTCATTCTTCGGCTTATGCTATGCATCCAGGAGGTACTAAGATGTACCGAGATCTGAAGGAAAGTTACTGGTGGTCAGGTATGAAGAGAGACATCGCCGAGTATGTGAGTCGATGCCTTACTTGCCAACAAGTTAAGGCAGAACATCAGCACCCGGCAGGGCTCTTGCAGCCACTCACCATCCCAGAGTGGAAGTGGGAGCACGTGACCATGGACTTCGTGGTGGGGCTACCACGAACGGTGAACAACTATGATGCAGTTTGGGTAGTGGTTGATAGGCTCACCAAGAGTGCACACTTTTTGCCTATCAACATTACTTATCCTCTTGAAAGATTGGCCAAGCTATACACGGAGGAGATTGTGAGATTACATGGAGTCCCAATATCCATTGTCTCGGATAGGGATCCACGATTCACATCCCGATTTTGGCCAAAGTTTCAGGCATCTTTGGGAACTAAACTGAAGTTTAGCACCGCTTTTCACCCACAGACGGATGGGCAGTCCGAACGGGTGATACAGATTTTGGAAGACATGCTTAGGGCATGTGCACTGGAGTTCCAAGGAAGTTGGGACAAACATTTGGCCCTGGTGGAGTTTGCTTATAACAACAGTTATCAAGCAAGTATTGGCATGCCTCCGTATGAGGCATTGTATGGGAGGAAATGCAGGACACCGTTGTGTTGGGACGAGGTTGGCGAGGCCAAACTCGAAGGAATAGAGCTGGTTGAGATCACCAAGGCCAAGGTAAGGATCATTCGGGATAGATTGAAGGCTGCTCAGGACCGACAGAAGAGTTATGCTGATAAACGGCGGAGACCGTTGGAGTTCGAAGTCGGTGATGAGGTCTTCCTAAGGATTTCTCCTTGGAAGGGCATCATCCGATTCGTATCGAGGGGGAAGCTTAACCCCCGATACATAGGTCCGTTTGAGATCCTTGAAAGGATCGGGGCCGTGGCTTACCGACTCAAGTTGACGCCTGAACTTGAGAAGATACATGACGTGTTTCATGTATCAATGCTCAAGAAGTACATACGAGACCCATCTCATATTCTTGAGAAACCACCGGTAGAGATCCGTGAGGACTTGCAATATGCGGTGGTACCAGTGAAGATTGTTGGTCAACGAGTGAAGAAGCTTAGGAATAAGGAGATTCCTATGGTAAAGGTTCTTTGGAGGAGTGATCGAGTCGAAGAAGAAACTTGGGAGACCGAGGTCTCAATGAGGGAGCAATACCCATTTCTTTTCGATTAGATACTTGGATTTCGGGGACGAAATCCCAAATAAGGGGGGGTGAACTTGTAACACCGTCCCCAAATATATTTACTTTTATGTAAATAATGTATTGAACCTTATTAAAGGATTAATGAATTTACGAAGTTGTAAATTTTTATTATTTCTTTCGCGTGAATAGTAAATTGCACGTGGGACCCACACCGGGAGCGGGGGCCGCCCGATATCCCCGAGATCACATAAATTATCATTATGGGTCGAAATAATATTTATATGGTGGTGGACATCTTATTTGGGCCATGGGAAGACCTGGGGTTGACCGATTGGTCAAAAGAAGCCCAATTACCGGTACCGACAATTAAACAGATAACAGCCCGAAAATGAATTTCGGAGACTTCCAAATTTTAGTTTTGGAATATATATTATTTCAAAGGGGAGTTATGATGGGGAACACATAATATATTTTATTTTACCCGATAAAATAAATTATGATTAAAACAGTCCGAAAAATACAACTTTCGGGACCGATTGTACACACCGGGACACAAAGGGATGACCTCCCACATGAGTGGGGGCCACCCCACGTTTTTTTGTGCTGTAACAACAAGGAAGGGCCTAGGTTGACAAAGGATTGAGTGGAGGAAGGTGCAAGGGGGCCCTTTGACCTCACTCATTTGCCAAAGGAGACAAAAAGGACACCCCAACCTCTCCCCTAGGCATTATTTCGGCCTAGCTACCAAAGGAGGAGGAAGAAAAAGCTCTCCAACCCTTCTCCATTGCTGCAACTCGAGCTCAAGCAAGAGAGGTCCAAGGAGTGGGATTAAAGAAGGAAAAAGGCTAGGAAAAGTGTGTAAATTAAGGTAATGACCTCATTATAACTTTTCCTTTATTTTTCTCCTACCATATGAGATATATATCATGTGAAGAATCCTTAAGAGGGTTCTACATGTTATAAGTATGGATTTATGGGTTGGGGAGTGATTCTATGTCCAAGAACGGTCTTAGAAGCCAAAATGACCGGTTCACCGGAAAATAACCTTTTTGAGGTTATTTGTATTAATATGGGGTTTATGATTATAAAACCTTGTTAGGAACTTGTGAAAGGTATTTCAAGTGATTTCACAAAGTTGGAAAAGTCGCCGGAGTTGTCGCCGGAGTTGACCAAGTCGCCGGAGTTTCACCGGAGTTCAACCAAGAAGGGTAGAACTTCTTAACGCTAGTTCAAGGTGAGTGGACGGCTTAATATCTTATAACTTTTGGGTTAATTATGAGATTACCTAAATAAATGTTATATGAGTTCATAGTGATGTTTAAAAGATATTTAAACATGTGATTAGCCAATAGGGTTAAGTTTGTATGAAAGAAATTAATTGTTGATGCATGGAATATGATATGAAGAATTATATGAAATGCATATTTGTTTGAAGTGTATTAGAGGCACAAAGGAATATTATTAACTTAATTATATGATGATTAAGTTGATACACACAAGGCATGAAATGGCGGTCAACGAAAACGTTGACCGATGGACAAGGAATTTAATTAATACCGGTTGGTATTAATTAATTATAAATTTATATACATGCATGGCTTTGCATGGATTGTGATACATAAGATTATGTATTGGTTTAGTTATGAGTAACTAAGAATGATATAGACTCTATCTAGGTTGATAGGAGGTTGATCATAGGAAAACTTGGTGGAGGACCCTAGTACTTAAAAAGTACTTAACACTCAAACTTGGTGGAGGACCCTAGTACTTAAAACGTACTTAACACTCAAACTTGGTGGAGGACCCTAGTACTTAAAAAGTACTTAACACTCAAACTTGGTGGAGGACCCTAGTACTTAAAAAGTACTTAACACTCAAAACTTGGTGGAGGACCCTAGTACTTAAAAAGTACTTAACACTCAAACTTGGTGGAGGACCCTAGTACTTAAAAAGTACTTAACACTCAAAACTTGGTGGAGGACCCTAGTACTTAAAAAGTACTTAACACTCAAACTTGGTGGAGGACCCTAGTACTTAAAAAGTACTTAACACTCAAAACTTGGTGGAGGACCCTAGTACTTAAAAAGTACTTAACACTCAAACTTGGTGGAGGACCCTAGTACTTAAAAGTACTTAACACTCAAAACTTGGTGGAGGACCCTAGGACTTATGAGGCCTTAACACTCACAAACCGGTGGAGTATCCGAGGATGTTGATCCTAAAACTCATAAATTACGATATACAAATAGGGACAAGGAGGAGTCCTATACACTCATAGGTATATGGGTGGGTTGGGGTTTTTAGTCAAGAATATTGACTAATACTATTTTTCCCAAATAAAATGGTGATCTACGGATCGGATATTTTCCAAGTATATATATACTAATAAGTATTTCATAACTTGGGGGAAAGACTATCTATTTAAGTATCACCCTATGTTTGGGTCTTATACTTGAAACGCTAGTTATTCTATATTTAGCCTGCTACTCGCTCGGTACTTGTACTGACCCCTTCGGGGGGCCCCACCATTTTCAGGTTGAAGCTAGGGCTTGCTACTTGCACCTTCTCACGGGTGATATCAAATCAGGAAGACGTGGTTCGTGCTTCCTTATTTTCTTTCAAACTACCGAACACTTGCTCATGGATATTTGTTCTACTATAACTATTTTTGGGGCTTGCATGCCCATGTTGTTGGCCGGTTGTGGCTTATGACTTACCGTTGAATATTTCCGCTATTCATTGGTTTAAATGTGATGTTGTTATGTATGTTTACTACTGAGTATGGATGGATTGTTTTCTCGAACGCCTTGTGTAATTAAGTGGGGTTGACTCGCGGGTGACGTCACTTAATTATACGGCGGTTGTACACGCGCTTGGATTGCGGTCTGGGGCGTGACAGCGTGAGGAGTTCCAAACTTTGTATGCTTCTCTTACAGGTAAGATAAATGCAATTCATATTATTTATAAGTCACATTAAATGAATTTGACTGTCAAAAAGAAAAATGATTTCATGCATATATTTTGATGCTAATATTGCAGATGAACAAAAAGGCATATTTGACACAATAATGGAAGCTGTGACTAACCAAAAAGGCGGGGTATACTTTTTATATGGTTATGGTGGTACAGGGAAAACCTTTATGTGGAGGACATTAGCTTCTGCCTTACGTTCTCAGCGTCATATTGTTTTAACTGTTGCATCCAGTGGTATTGCTTCTCTACTCTTACCTGGCGGTAGAACTGCACACTCTAAATTTTCAATCCCAGTTCCGACTCTAGAGAACTCTACATGCAATATACATCAAGGGAGTGAACTTGCAGAGCTTTTAAAACAGACTAAGTTGATAATTTGGGATGAAGCAACAATGGCTAATAGATTTTGTTTTGAAGCACTAGACAGAAGCCTAAATGACATCATCAGCAATGATGGTGATTCTATTTCACCATTCGGAGGAAGAGTGATTGTCTTTGGAGGAGACTTCAGACAAACTTTACCAGTTATTCCTGGAGGAAGCCGTTCAGACATTGTTAATGCTACAATCAATTCTTCATATCTATGGGATGACTGTCAGGTAATAACTCCATTTTAGTACCACAACCAATATGTTTACTGTTACTATAATTTACAAATTCATTTTACCACAATATACCAAAATAACTAACCTAAAAAACTTTAAAAAAATTGTTCATTCGTTCGCTTTTAGTTTAAATAAAGTACAAGTAATTATATTAAGGGTTGGTTTGCAACCACTTTAAAAAAAGAACTTCTCAGCTTTTGGCTTAAAAAAAGCAATTCTTTTACCAAACACTACAACTTTTATTTTTCCCGGCTTTCGTGTCAAAAGTGCTTTTACTTTTTCTATTACACAAAAAACACTTATTTTACCAAACACTATCAACTTTTACTTTTCAAAATCACTTTTTTTTCAAACGTTATCAACTTTTATTTAATCACTTCTCCCCATTTCATTAAAAAGACACTTTTTTTAAAGTAGAAGCTGTTGCAAACAGACCCTAATTGTTTAACTATTTCAAATAATCACTTTATAAATTTTTTTAGTAATTACTATATAAGTTATATTCAAATATAAGTATTTTTTTTGTTTATTGATAGGTATTGTCTCTTACTAAAAATATGCGACTCCAAAAAAATTTGGATATGACAAGTGCTACTGAGCTCAAAGAATTTTCAAAATGGATATTGGATGTGGGAGATGGAAAAATATCAGAGCCAAACGATGGTTATGCAGAAATAAAGATTCCAGATGAATTCTTGATTAAAGAATTTGATGATCCAATAGATGCAATAGTCCGTAGCACATATCCGAACTTGCTGGAGCAATACAAAAATGAGGAATTTCTTAAGTCTAGAGCTGTCTTGGCATCAACTATTGAAATTGTCGATAAAATTAACGACTATGTTCTTTCAACGCTCCCAGGTAATATTATAAAAAAGCTAATTTACTTATTTACTTACAAAATAAATTCTTTAAAAAACTTAATGATTAAATTAAGACTACCGAACTTTTATAACTACAGGTGAAGAAAGAGAATATTTAAGTTGCGATTCTGTAGACAAGTCGGATGTAGTTGAAGCAGAAGCATTTGAAGCGTTGACACCAGAGTTTCTCAATTCCTTGAGAACATCAGGTCTCCCAAATCACAACATACGACTTAAGGTTGGAACTCCAGTAATGTTGCTAAGAAATATAGACCAGTCAGAAGGACTATGTAATGGAACTAGATTGATTGTCACAAGACTGGGAAATCATGTCATTGGAGCAAGAATCATGTCTGAAGGCAATGATGGAGATGAGATTTACATACCTCGAATGTGTATGTCTCCTTCTCAATCACCATGGCCTTTTAAACTTATAAGAAGACAATTTCCTATAATGGTCTCATATGCGATGACAATCAATAAATCTCAAGGACAGTCACTGGAAAGAGTTGGATTATACTTGCCAAGACCTGTTTTTAGTCATGGACAATTGTATGTGGCATTGTCAAGAGTTCAGAGCAAACATGGATTGAAGATTTTAATACATGATAGGGATGGAAAATCATTAGACACTACTACGAATGTTGTATTCAAAGAGGTTTTCCAAAATCTTTAACACGTAAGTTTAATATTTTATTTAATATTTATTTTATTAACTTACACTTTATGATATTGACATGTTGTTCTTGCTTTTAAGAAGAAATGCAGTTTTTTGAAATTCTTTTCTTCTCCAATTAATTAGATCATGATTGCAAGTATATCCATCGATTATTTTCCCGTGCGTATGCACGGGTACTATACTAGTGACCACGAATGCAAATTTCAAATTTTATAGTGAGATTGACATTTACATGAGAGTTGACCATTTGAGGGATACTTGAATGCTACTAAATGCAGATGTTAAATACTCCGTATTATTTAGATGCACAATGCAAGAGCGGACGAATGAGTGAATCTTCAAAATCCACAATGAATGGGTCACATGCGTTTGTTATAACTATTATATGCTCTGGAAAACAAATTTGTTCTTAATTAGAGTTTTTATACTTGTTGTGTTACGTTGGCTAGGAAAAGTTTGTGTGTTATTGGATCACTTGATTGTTATTTACTTGTTATATCTTATACGAAGTATATACGACGAAGTATACCAGCCTCTCTGATTTTGAGTTTATTTAAATTATTATTTAGTTTAATTAAAAGAAGTATACCAACAATTGTCACAACTAAATGTGCGTACTTGTAGTTTTTGCTAAGGAAAATAACATATTTAGTCCTACAACTTATTCATTTGTCAATTATTTACTTGTACTGTTTTCAGTCTCAAATCAGACTAGACCAGACTTAAACAGACAAGATCAGATCAGATTAGATTAGATCAGACCAGACCGAACCGGACTTTCATTGTTACGTAGTATTACATACATTGTGATCATACGTTTACTAGACCTGACAAGATTTTAATAGACCAAACCAGATAAAAAAATTCAATTCCTGTAAAAACAACAGTAAAAATAGGAAAACTATAGATCATATTGTGTAACTAATATGTTTACCCGCATTAATGAATTTTCCATCAGAACGAATTCTTTTCTACAATTAAGTCTTCATCCGTGGCGGCATTTCTAATAAAATTTCACGCAAAACATTTACTTGCAAATAGGAATTCACTCCAAATAGAATGGAGTGGATTCCTATTTTTTGAAACATTTTGTAATGTAAATACTTTGGTAAGAATATTTAACATTAAGGCGTTTTTACAACCGAAACAAAAGGTCCTCGGTGACAACTCCGGTACCTTTTAAAAAAATGAGGTACCGTACCTACTATTCATTTGATTGGATCACATCACTTTATTATTTTTAATTAGATTTAAATAATTCAATTGCTACATTCTCATTGGACCATGTGGACAAAAGTATGATACCTTATGGTTACCATAGAATCTACCAAGGTCGTCGATTTGTTTTTCATATTATTCATTGCAAATGCAACAACTACACGGAGATGAGAATGAACTGAACGTTTCAAGACCTGAGTTTGGAGTGTGTTCCTTTGTCTTTTGATGTGCCTGACAGGGTTTGGAGTGGCAAAGATGTTTCTTACCGTCACTTGAGAGTCTTTGAATGCATGAGGAAAGCCCAAATATTGAGCCCATTAAAAGTATTCTTTGACTTTCTATTTTTGGGAGCTAATTATAATAAGGGGTATACCACTATCTGAAAATACAAGGACAGAAAGAGAGCAGCGGATAGAGAGCAAATGTCGTAAAACACGAGTTGAATGTGCTCATCCCATTTTTCAGCAGGCAGCAGCAGAAATCTTTAGTTTCCCGGAGATTGAACCGTTGGATCGTTGTGATTTTTGGACAGAAGCTTCACATCTGGGCGAACATTCTGGACGGTGGAGATCAGGTTTTAAGGTCCGGAGGTCGGGTTTCATTGGTCTGGACAGTAGCTATTTTTTCAGTGATATATTTCTTATCTTGGCTCTATTTTGATTCCATACACCTTGATGTGCTTACTTCCAAGGATACGATGATTTTGTATGCCTCTAGTATTATCTATAGAAGACTTTGTACTGCTCCTTTGATGATGATAGTGGATTGAAGCGGCCAAAATGGTCCCGTGGTTTCTCCCTAGTTAACGAGTTTTTCACGCTAAAATTTCGGTGTTTTGTGTGGTGTATGCTTACTGTTTTAGCTGATTATATTGGTGTGTGGCAACAATATTGTGTGTGTTCTAATTGCATTAAGAACACCTATTTGTTTGCATCCTCAAAGGTTCATTCAAGTTGGGGAAAGTTTAGCCAAACGGAGATTAATTCCGCATTTTATTAGTTCCGTTTGTGGCTGTTTTTCCCATCAAGACAAACAAGTAATTTGGGTGTTAATCAGGAAACTGATGACACATCAGGATTTACACAGGTGAAATCAAAGAGAAACAAGACAAATGCAAGATCCGATAACCCTCCAAATTGCGTAGAACAACAACTTTTCTATTAAGTTGGTTGGCAGTCTCATCCGATGATAACCACAAGTCAATCAAAAACACTTCAGGATGACAAAGACTACTATATCTACCCAATCGACTCAAAATTTGACTCGCCTCACACGTTAGTAACAGGACTTAAACGCTACAAGTCATCACATCAGGAGGCAAAGATGTATCCTCCTTACATCCAACGGGCCATCAAGTTTCACAATAAATACAACAAGACGCTCTCAACCATTGCAGGAGCGCCTGCTAAAAACTTTATTTGTTAGCTTTAATTTTTGTGATTTGTCTTGATCTTTTTTTTCGAAGCTATGTTTCTTTTAATATAAAAAAATTAAACATTTACTTTTGGAGTGTGTAAACGGCTGTTGTGGATACAAACTGCGACAATTGCTAAATTTTCTATAGGCCCAATGATCGGCGCAGGCCAAACCAGTCAACCAAATAAAGGCTCCATGACATAAAATTCCAAAATTACTATTACTAGGAATCATAAAAGTAAAATTCTTAGACTCAAGTGTTGGTTTTTACTTTCTAGTTTCTAATTAAGTAGGAGTAATTTACGCCAAATTACACTATGACATCGTTACACCGTGCGCATGGTGCTATTATGTATTTAACTCTCTCTTTTTCTTTTTCGGAATGCATTAGGCCTTGGTTCCTTCTTTATTTTTTTTCTCAAATTTTTTGTCCTTCTCCATCAAAGTATTAAAAATGCAATTGCAATTTTACTTTTCTTTTATTTTCAACTTAAATTACAACATAATCTAATTTTATATTTTATCAATTTCTAGCAAAAATATATTAATCTAAATAAAATAAGTACATTGCATTGCATATTTATACATTATTTTTTCTTGTAATAGTTTTTCTTGTAATAGTTTTTCATATTTCTGTCACATATTTATATCTCTTTTAAATATTTTTGTGGGTTTTTAAAGCATTATATTTACTTCAATTTAAATTTGATAAAACCTGAGATTACATTTTCATGCGTGATTTACATTTTCATATGTGTGACTTACATTTATACATGATTTCTGCAGTTATAGTTGATAATACATGGAATTACATCTTCTTATTCATAATTTACATTTTCATGTGCGCGGGTTATATTTTTATATGCGTGAGTTACATAAGGACTTACCTCAACAAGTTGTATTTTACATACACTCGAGTTACATTTTCATCAATGCAAATTACATTTTAAATAATCCGGGTGACATAAAAAAGAATCTCATTTACAAATACAACTTCCTTTGTCCCACTAAAATTGTTTCATCTCTTTTATTTTATTCTTACTTCATCAATTAAAAATCAACCATATAACCCCATTTTTCTTAATAATTGTGTTGTCTTCTCATATCTCAATGTTAATGGGACAAAACCACAGAGGTATTACTAAAATTAAGAGAAACATCTTGGGGGTGCTTGGACCACTTTTCAAAACTGCTTTTACTCGTTGTTCAGGGAGTAGAATCAAATATTGGAATGTTTGGGTGAAACTGCAGAAATACTTCAAGGTGCTTTAAATTGCAACTACAAGCATTTTTTATATAAATTAAGGTCACTAGCTTCTGAAAAAATGAATCTCATTCTACTTCGATTTAAAAAAAAAAAAAAACAAAATCACCTCTAAACAATCTTTAATACAAAAAAGATACTACCTCCATTTCAAAATAATTATCTTGTTCTTCTTTTCATAGTTTCCCAAAAAATTGTGTTAGTGTCTCTTTTGATAATCATGTGTGACTCATATCAATTCACATTTTTTTTTGTTTAATGAAACCTCAATTCACATTAAAATCACCTCTAAACATTTTTACTTTTTCGTTTCTCAAAATTTGTGGTAAGGTCCTCTCAAAAAAAAAATTGTGGTAAGGTATTTTTCCTTGAGCTCGAACGTCCAGTAAAGATGTGCGTGACACGTGGCGAAATAGCCAAGTCAGAGAAATCATCCAATCCAGACCAACCAAAACAGAGAGCACCTTATCCACCATATCTATCGTACTCTCACAACTGCACTACTCTCCTCACATATCAAATCCTCTCCACACAAACCTCCACCTCCATTTCTGATCTAATCCAGTAAAGTAACACAGAAAGACAGAAACAACTTATATTTGGGAATTGAACAGACAGATCGATCAAGCTAAACCACAATGGCAGCCTCCTCAGTACAAGCAGCAGCGACACTGCTGATGCAACCCGCTGTCAATGCTAATCATAAGGTTAGAACTAGAAGCAGCGGCGGCGGCGCTTCTCCTGCCTCCTCCGGCAAAGCCGCCTCCTTTTCCGCCCTCACTTCATCTCATCATAATAATCCCCTCAAGGACTTGGCTCAAAGGTGCACTGATGCTGCCAAGCTTGCTGCTTTTGCACTCGCCACTTCTGCTCTTGTCGTCTCTGTATGTACTGTTTACTGCTTACCCTTCCTCTGTTTCTTCCAACACAGATAAGTAACCTGTATGCATATGATGAAGGGTCTGTATTAAATTTTGTATACAATTGTTGCACATACTTTGTCCAAAGTTGCAAGTTCAGAGAGAAAGTTTTTGTGTTTGATTAAGTAATAGATTGGTTTCAATTTTTTATTCTGTCAAGTGCTTTATGATTAAGTGACGGTAATAATGCATCAAAAAGTTTATTGTTTTAGGATTTTAGTGGTATGGATCGAATAGGTGATCTATTGGAATTTATATGGATGGATTGGATATACAGGGAGCAAATGCTGAAGGACTTCCGAAACGACTAACATATGATGAGATTCAGAGCAAGACTTACCAGGAAGTGAAAGGAACTGGAACTGCCAACCAGTGCCCGACCATTGAAGGAGGGTCTGGAACCTTCTCATTGAAGCCTGGAAACTATGTTGCTAGAAAGTTCTGCATGGAGCCGACATCGATCACCGTCAAGGCCAGTAGTGTGGGCAAGAACTCCCAAGCTGACTTCCAAAACACAAAGCTCATGACCCGCCTGACCTATACCCTTGACGAGATGGAAGGACCGTTTGAGATCTCGCCTGATGGCACTGTCAAGTTCGAAGAGAAGGACGGGATCGACTATGCTGCTGTCACTGTTCAGCTTCCTGGCGGAGAGCGTGTCCCTTTCCTATTTACAGTCAAGCAGCTCGTGGCCACCGGGAAGCCTGACGACTTCGGCGGTGATTTTCTAGTGCCATCATACAGGGGTTCCACTTTCCTTGATCCAAAGGGGAGGGGTGGGGCCACTGGTTATGACAATGCTGTGGCATTGCCGGCTGGTGGGAGAGGAGATGAGGAGGAACTTGAGAAGGAGAACAACAAGAACACTGCATCTTCAACAGGGAAGATTAGGATGAGTGTTAGCCAGAGCAAGCCAGAGACCGGGGAGGTGGTTGGAGTCTTTGAGAGCATTCAGCCGTCTGACACTGATTTGGGTGCAAAGGTTCCAAAAGATGTAAAGATCCAAGGTGTCTGGTATGCCCAACTAGTCCAACCAGACTCATCCATCTGATCTTTTCAATAGAAATGTACCAATTTCATGGCTGATGCTTTCTTGTATCTGTTGTATCAGTACAATTTTCTTCAATCCATCAGAGAAGACTGGAATGGAGATTTTCTTGCCTGTAAACCAAATATTGCAGTGTTACTCAGTCCTATCTATAATATATAAAAACATTCAAAGTAGTACTAATTTGCACTGGTTGTTTGGTTCAAGCCTTCAAGGGAGGTTGTGTTTGTGTGTTACCTTGAATGGTCTCTTTGGAGTACAGGGAGGAGAACATCCTCCCATAATGCAAAACCAAACTTACCCTTCAGGAAACAATGAAACTTGTGATTTCTTTGCAAGTATATGTGTGGGAAAAAATGGAAGTTTCATTTTCTAACTAATGAAATGGGCATTATTATATCATAATCTCTCCTACCCATCTACAAACCATTTACAAGAAAAGCATTAAGAGGCTCTAAGACCCTGTTCAGTAAGAGTTGTTTGGCTAAAATGATTGAATCCAATAACACATTTGGTAACATCCAAATCAGCCAAATAAGTTAAAACTGTTTATTCCAAGTATTCTATTTATTCTGCCGAGCTTCCAAATACACTGAAATTAATACAAGTGAATTCAGTGCATATGATTATTCGAAAAAGAAAGATGTTAGAAGAATACTATGTAGTACAAATTATCAAATATGTTGCACACTCCTTATGACAATATGGTTTTAAAAACACTAATGAAATTTCACTGGTCTGACCCATCCGGCAGCAAATAGGGTGCCTCTAGCATTAGTCTTTTGAAGAATGAATGGATAAAAATGAACATTTTAAGTTTAGGGTTTTCACCTCAACAATGTGAAAGAGAATATCATTACCAACAGCTGCAGAAGATTTGTGGCTTCACCAAAACTCTTTGCAGGAACACAACCCATCCTTAAAGTGATGAAACCTTAATGAATCTCTTACAACAATTCTCAGGCCAACAAGTTCGGCAATAAATTTGATTGTATTATGGCAATCTCCACATATCCTTAAGTTCTTAAAGACAGTAAGAGTCGATCCTCCTTTGAAATTCAGTATTCCAAAAGCAACTGCAAGCTTCTCACTATGATAGCACAAACTCGATTCCTTCTCCTCCACATCAACATCCTGTAAAACAAAGTCAGTATCTGGCAAACGCCCTGCCACTCTCATCTTCTCACAGATCTCATCCAAGAACTTGTATATCTCTTCACTCTGATTATGGCTTTTATCCCCAGAAACAAACAAGTATGTCTTGTTCTTCACTTGGACCCAACTACGCCCCGGTAATTTCTTAATTCCTCTGTCTCTCATCAGTTCTCTGGTTTTCAATGCTTCTTCTCTTAGCTTTGAAGCTTCAAAGATGTTTGATAACATAACATAATTCCCTGGGTTTTCTGGCTCAACCATAAATAACTGATTTGCAACAATCTCTCCCAACCTGACATTCTTATAGACCTTACATCCAGCAAGCAATGCTCCCCATGCACTGGCAGTTGGTTTCATAGGCATCTCTTTGATGAAACAATAAGCTTCCTCCAAACGGCCCGCACGGCTAAAAACATCAACTAAACACGAATAGTGTTGTTCATCAGGTTCAACTCCGTGATCTTTGGACATCACATGAAAGATCGTGAAACCCTCATCAACTAGCCGGGAGTGGCTACAGCCAGACAGCACAGCGGTGAAAGTCACCTTGTTTGGCTTCAAGCCCGAACTTATCATCCTGTTGAAAAGCAAAACGGCTTCTGCTCCTTCCCCGTGGATTGTATTAGCAAAAATCATCGTGTTAAATGCAATGGTATCTTTATTCGGCATTCGGTCAAAGACTCTTCTGGATAGTTCTAGAGAACCACACTTTGAGTACAAGAGTAGCAAAGCGGTGGCAGTAGTAATGTCATCGAGAAATCCGTGTCGGGAGATGAAAGAGTGAATCTCCTTTCCCACTCTTATGCTTTCTAAATGCGCACAGGCAGGGAGGATGGTGGTAATTGTGATTAAATTCGGTTTGGTCCCGGATTTCTGCATCTCAGTTAGCAATTCCAGTGATCGCGCTGTATCTCCACACTTTACACAGCCACCAATAACAGCATTCCAAGAATCCTGGTTTAGTTTGAGGCCAAATTCATTTCTCATCTGGGAAAACATGCACATCGCCTTTTCGTATTCCCCGTGGGATAAAAATGCTGATATGACAACGTTCCATATAACAATGTCTTCTCTAGGCGTGTTGAGGAACACTAATTCTGCTTTCTTGATTCTTGAACAGCTGGCATACATGTCCACAAGTGCACTGCAAATGAACACATTGTCTCCCATTCCTTTCCTGATAACATGTCCGTGAATCTCTCTGCCCAAGGCTATATACTTTAGATCTGAGCAAGCGGGAAGAAGAGAAGACAGTGTCATCGAATTTGGCCAAACCCCGTAAAACATCATCTGACGAAAAATGTCGATAGCTTTTATTGGAAGCCTGCATTTCACATAGCAAGAGCACATTGTGGTCCAAGACACAACATCTTTTTTCACACTTAAATCGTCGAAAACTGTTCTTGCGCCTTCAGAGTGTTTGCATTTGCCGTACATGTCAATCAACGCATTTCCAATCACTAGCTCATACCGAAACCCAAATCGAATGGAATCTTCATGAATCTCTTTCGCCTTTCTTAGGTCCCTTGCAGAACCACAGGCTTTGGAGACTGAGAGTAATGCCCATTGATCAGGACAAATATTCCGGCCTCGAAGTTCATTGTAGACTTGTATTGCTTCTTTTGGACGGCCCCATTTCGTATAGGCAGAAATCAGTATTGTCCATGACCGTAAATCTGAGTCAGGAATTTTATCAAGCAGCTGCCGCGCACGCCATAAATCCCCAGATATTATACTCGACTTGAAGAACTTGAGGTTTTTAGATAGCTCCACTTGCATCGAAATGCCCCGCAATTACTCCCTGTGTATGAGTATTTAAAAACCCTTGGATTACGGTTGGTTGTTTAGCTTGAGCAAACTCTCCAAAATTTTGAAAGAAAAGAACACTTGTTATTTTTAGTTTTAACGACAACAAGCTTTCACAACATCAAATGAGACAAAAGTAGAATGCCAAACACCCCAAAAGAGAATTTGGGTTGTTTAGGATTTCTGAAATTATTATTTTTAGAGAAAGTTCCCGAAATAGGACTAAAACGTTTTGAAAATTCCAAAATAGGACTGCCAAGTTTTTTATTCCCAAAATAAGAGTATTTACTGCCATGTTTGGAAAATGCTGTCATGTTTGAAGTCTGATACTGCCAAAACATGACAGTAATTAGTCCTATTTTGGGAATAAAAACATGGCAGTCCTATTTTGGAATTTTCAAACCTTTTAAAAAATATGACTAAAAGTTACTTTAGTATAATGTCATGATCACTTAAGTGTAAAATTTAACTTCAAAGTATTATGACTAATGTAACTATTAAGTCACTAGATTTAAGAGGTCACATTTATATAAATAAATTTTATTTTAGTCATAAATATATACTGATTTTATATATATTTAAACTTTGACCTTCATTTCGTTTATATAGGTGGTGTCAAATCAATTTTTAGAAAATATACCTCAACATATATAACTAAAAATAATTGAGTGGTGTCAATTTACTCTCATTTCATTTATATAGGTGATGTCAAATTAATTTTTCGAAAATATCCATCTATATATAAACTATAAAGAATATTTGAGTGTTGTCAATTGACACCACAATGACATATGTGGCTCCGTCCGTGACAAAATGTGAGGGGGGCGATGCTCTTGTGGTTAATGTTGGTTATTAGAAGGAGGTTAGGGCTTTTGATTGGTGCTCGTTTGCATGGGCGGAGCTAGGGGTGGGCCAACCTAGGCCCTGGCCCACCCCAAATTTTAAAATTGACTTAATTTTTAAAGTAAAAAATTTCGTGTAATTTTTTTTCAAAACATATTCTTTATATCGGCCCAGTCCGGCCCAGTACTCTAACCCGCTCTTGCTCGTTTGTATTGTTTTCTCAATTACAAACGGAGAGTATTGATTTAATATAATATGTCAGTCTCCTTGCAAAAAAAATTAAAGTTACATAGTGCATGACTCCACGGCTCCAATTTTATGGGTCTGCGACACTAATATTTATTTTTATGCATTAAAAATAGACCAATGCGTAAAATCTAAAATAGCAGCTTTTGAAGGGATGGGTGATGGAATACACACATATGAGTGTGCTATATTTTCATACTCAGCTCAGTCAATATTCGGTGCTCGAGTAAAGTTGACATAGGTTTCCGCGCTCTCAAAGAATTTGTTGAATAAAGTTGTTCGGATAAAATCTACTCGTTAATTTTAGCACTATGAACAAAAGCAATCACTTTAAGCTTTTGGAGCACTTGGACTAAAAATATAAACCACAAGGGAATACGTCCAAATAGACATTTCAAATATTTCTTTTTTTGATGTAATTCTAAAATTGTATGGAGTAATATTTCTGCTCTCTTGTCAAATTTAAGCTATGCAGTTCAAAACAAACTGTACCTCTAGCTGCACTTAATACCTTAGCCATTATTCTTGTTTAATTTAAAAGAAATTTCTAATTCCTCGGACACAGAGTGTGAGGGCTATGGCATGTTCAAATTTCATCTTAAACTTAAAAGGCAAAAGCAACACCTCAAAACCTGGAATAGGAAAGTTTTTGGCAATATTTTTTTATAAAGGTGAGGTTGAGCAAACGATTTCTCTTGTTATAGCTTTTCCTTGCATATGATTGTTTTACGCTAACAAATAGTGTGGTAATGTACAAGGATGGATTTAGGGGGGGCGCGGGGGGCGACCGCCCCCTTGGACTTTGAAAAATTTCTACCATATATATAATATTTTCATAAAACTTTCATAATTTAATTAGATTCGCCCCCCTTAGCTTTTAATTTTCAAAATTAATATATATGATGGAGTATATGGCCCAGGAACCCCCGGCCCATAGACTCCTACTTCTCCTACACAAGTTCATTGAGCCCAGAGAACAACTCAGGCCCAAAATGCAGCGGCCCAAGCCTCAAGGTGGCCCATAATACGCATTGGGGTGCCTTCGGCCTCCTTGGCCGAAGGCCCCAAACCTCACAGGGTAGCCTTCTCTGGCATAAAAGGCTACTGGGAGAAAACGGCGAAAAACATGAGCCTTCGGTTCTATCGAACCCTCGGCATCAGAGAAGCCCCCGGCTAAACCATGCCTCCGGTCACACAGAGCCCTCGACAGCACAAGGAGCCCTCGGCCAAGCACACTCAATCATCGGAGATTCCTTCTAGAGACAGCCAACCACCGCATTTAATACCACGTCACATCCACCAACCGCATTCAATGCGGTAAACGTACCACTGCCGGTGCCAACCGGTTGATGTGACCCTTC